TTTTTTTCATGCTATCTGACAGTTACGCGGTTTACATCTCTCTCTCTCTCTGCTCATTTCTCCGTCTCTAATACCCACAGGTGGCCTTTAAGTAAAAGTCTATTCTCAGCAAAACACTTCTCTCAACTACATTAATGATTCCAGTATTTAGAGATGCCCAGAGGATGTTCAGAAACTTCACTTTTCCCTCCTCGCCCTCTTCACTCCGTTTCTCATGCATTCCTCTAATCCATCAGAGAGCTATCACGCTGCTCTTCCCCGCAGCCTCATTAAATCCCCCCTCCTCCTCCCCTTCTGCTCTCCGTCACACCACACTCTTTCCCAATCATCCTCCCTCTCTTCTTCTACATCACGCCGGTCACTTCTTTCCAGCACTTCTCACACCGTCCTGAATCCACCGCAGCCAATCGCCTCATACGAAACCATCTCATGTAGTGCATTACTGGCTCTAGTACTTTAGTCCTCTGTAGCTTCACTTCAACTCTTTCCTCATCTGCTTTTTTTTTTGGCTAGAAATACAGTTGCAACAGCAACGAGAACAATTTGCATTTTTTTTCCTCCCTCCAGGACTTTTATTTTTGCGTGGTTTTAAAAGGTGAAACTTGTACTTTCTTTRTTACACCAATTACAAAAAAATATATTTAATAAAAACAGGCAAGATGAAACAACAACCCATAATCCCCCGCAGAGCAATTCACCCATCTGTGACTTCAGCAGCCTATAAGCAAGAAAACTATTCATCAGTCTGTAAAACAAAACARATGTTTCAGGTGAGACACAAATATCTTCATAAACCAAGGGGAAAYATCCAMTTTGAATTCATGTTCTGTCWAATAATAATCAATACCTTTATTACCTTATCATTCAAAAAGACAAAAGTCTCTGTCCAGGCTAGACTAAAGGATGGTGAGGTTTTTTTTTTTTCATGTTTTTCTGGCTTATAAAACAACTCTTTCACAAAGAAAAAACACAAATCAAATCCACACAGCGGTCTCTGCAGTTCATTGGGGGAGTTTCTTTGTGTGTGGGCGGAGTTTGTCCTAACCGTGATTGGCAGAGTTCGGAATGTAGGCGGAGGTTCTTGAGCGTGGGCGGAGCTTGGCAAAAACGTGATTGGTCGGATCAACTTGTCTTGCGGGGCAAGTTAATAGATGGTAACAGTAACATTATTGTGAACGTGTAAATATAATTTACAGACTTCAAATTTGTTGCGGCTAGCACCGTCCTGTTACGAGTTTTTAACTAAAATTAATATTTAAAAGCATAGGCACTTTCTGGCCATTTCATTGAGCCGCATGACCCTTTACCAAACTCCTCCCACAAAAATCTGACAATTTYGACTTTGACTAACTCCTCCCACATGTCAAGAAACTCCCACATAGTGACTGCAGAGCCC